GCATAAAGTATAAAATCAACAGTTTTATACTTTATAAAAGTATAAAATCAACCGTTTTATAGTAATACATTTATAATCAACATCAAATAGTTTGTTAGAAAAATATACATATTACGTATATTTTCAACATTTTTATAGTAATAAAATCAACAGTTTTATAGTAATACATTTATAATACACATCAAATAGTTTTTTAGAAAAATATACGTATTACGAAATTAATAGAATACTTCATCAGATCAATAAATATTAACTACAGGGAGTTATTAATAAAAAATCTTTGTCCCAAAAGGAGTCAGGCCAAGTTTGTCTTAAGGATAACTTTCTTTTTGCCAAAGCTTCAGAGAGTAAGATCACTATTATCTTTAATTACTTCTTCCAGAAGATAGTAAAACAGAGAAAGCTTATTTTACATGACTTTTATTATCTCAAATAATAGAACAAGAAAAAAAATACAGACAAATCTCAGGGACAAAAGTTAAAATTCTATATGAAATAACAAAATGAATTGTTTTAACAATTATTTTACCAGGGGCTCCTGGGTGGCTTAGTCAGTTGGGCAGCTGATGCGTGCTTTCAGCTTGGTTCTTAATCTCAGCGTCATGAGTTCAAGCCCTGTATTGGGCTCCACACACCCCCAAAAATTATTTCAGCATGACCAAGTAGGAGATATCTTGGGATATTTCAATATTTAAATTCTAATTCACATTAAAATATTAATAAAAAACTTAACCCGCTCAACTGCTACTGAAAAATCTTTAATACGATTCAGCATACATTCATGATAAAAAAATTTTAGCAAATTAGGAAAAGATGGAAATATTCTATGCTAAATCATGATTCTGTGGTTAATATCATATTTAAAGGCAAAATTTCAGAAGCTTTCTCTTCCAAGTAGGAATAAAATAAGGGTGCTTGCTATCATCTTTATTACTCAATATTGTGCTGGAGGTCCTAGAAAATTCAATAAAACAAGAAAAAGAAATGAGGTAGGGGCACCTGGGTGGCTTAGTTGATTAAGTGTCTGACTCTTGATTTTGGTTCAGGTCATGATCTCAGGGTCGTGAGATTGAGCCCTGGATCAGGCACCACATTCAGTGGGGAGTCTGCTTGAGATACTCTCCCTCTCCCTCTCCTTCTGCTCCCCCCAACTCATGCTCTTTCTCTCTCTTGCTCTAAAATAAATAAATAAATAAATCTTAAAAAAAAGAAATGAGGTATAAATCCAAAAAGAAAAAAAAACTGAAAACTGTCACTATGTGCAAGCAATATGTGTACATTAAAAAAAAAATTAAAGCAAATGAACCAATTATTATAACTGAGTGTGTCAAGTTTGTAGGATACAAAATTAATATATGAAAACAAGAGCTTTTTGGTATAAAGAACCAGATAGAACCAGATAGAAAATGCAGTAGAAAATAACCTACTCATAATAGCGAGAAAAAGTATAAAGTACCAAAGAATAAATTTCTGTAAGACTGTTATGGAAAAAACTATAAAACTTTATTCAAGGATGAAAGAGAACCTTGCATTATTAGAGAGATACATCATATTGAGGTGTGAATAGACTCAATATCATAGAAATATTACTGTCTTAAATTCATTTGTAAATTTCATGCAATTTCAATTAAAATCACAAGATGAATTTTTTATGAAATTAACAGTTTAACTAATATGGCAGGATAGCATAGGCACTTTGAAAATGAAGAGGAAAGAGGGATGTGCCTATCTGGTTATTAAGATTTATCATAAACCATGAATAATTGAATCAATAATTAGCATGAAGATAGAAAAATAAACCAATAGAATAAAACATGAAATATATATGGAGCAAAGATCCATATCTTCCCAGTCAATAATCTGCCTTCAATTATACCTTTGATAGGAATGATTCCAAAGAGTTAATTACATTTAATAAAAAATACACTCTTCGTGTCCAAATGTAACTTGGGTGTGAATGGGAGTATTCAATATTTAGTATCATCATTATTAGGATAGAGTGCTGGTACCTAATGAGTCACATTCACCTTCCTGGAAAACTTCAAACTAAGGGAATCTATCATACCTAGACTATTTATCGAGGGTAGCTGTTCTCAAACTTTAGGGAGTGTCAGAGTCACCTGGAAGAACTGTCAAAACACAGATCGCTGGGCCCCTCCCCTCACAGTTTATAATTCAGTAGGTGTAGGGTATAAGAATTTGCATTTATAAGTAGTTTACAGGCTAGAACTGCTGCTGGCTTGTGAACCACTGCCCTAAGATAATATTGGGTGCCCAGTAGAAGCCAACATTAAGACACATAACATTATTTTTCAGTCTTAAACAAATCTAAAATGCAATTAACTAGTACATATTAGTAGACTATACAGACGGATGTTAGTACACTTATTAGTCAATGATTCCATGTACATGGTGCTCTGCAGAACACCATCTATTCAGTTTAGCTAGTCATGGTTGATACCCTGAGGACTTTCCAACTCCTTAAGGCTAGGGATCATGTTTTATACTAGATTTTGCTCATTGTGCGCTGCCCCAAAATCAACAAATAAACATTGACTGAGCACCCACTGTGTTTCATGAACTGTACTAGATAAAAATGTAAGTATAAAATTAATAGGCTCATGGTCTCATAGGAGCTACTGACACACAAAGACATGATTTCAGTGTTATATGGTCAATAGTTAGATCATTTGTATCAGAGCACACTGATGAAGAGCCTCAGCCCAAGTCAACCAAATGACTGAGTCTTGAAGGATGAATACCAGCTTGTCAGTTAAAAATGGATACGAGGAGGGGAATCTGGTGTGAACAATCTATATACAGGGTCTCTATTGGACACTAATAGCAATTTGGTATGCATAGAGATTAAAGTTCCAGACAGATGGTGGATATGAAGGAACTGACCGGGTCTTAATGGGCCATATATGCTATATTAGAGAGTTTGGAATAGGTGTTCTATGCAATGTGAGTCTTCAAAGGATTTTAAGCATGAAAGTCACATAGTCATATTTGAGTTTTTGATCACTGCCTGAGTTAAAAGGTAGAGGATGACTCAGAAGTGACCAGAAGGTAATCAAAGAGATCAGGTTATTGCAATCAAGAAGTGATAAAGTAGATTAAAAAGAAGAATTTGGATATATTTTAAAAGTAAAACTAGCAGGACCTGATAATTAGATGTTTAGATGTTGGCACTGATGGAGAAGGAAGAGTCTAGGATGTTCTCAAGATTTTGGCTTGAGTTAACTATAGAGAGTGAGAAAGGGAATACAGAAGAATGAGCAAGTTGGGAGAGAGCTTGGTATACTCCACTGGGGACATTTAGAGATACCACTGAAATATCTGTGTGGTTATCTATCTGTTCATCAGACAATTATTGAATGGAAGGATGGATCATCTTAAATTATTCAATAAAGCAAGAGGCAAGATTGCCTTCTGAGGGTGAGGGAGTAGGCAGGGGAGTTGAGGGGATTCACAGAGAGGAGTTAGAGAAGCAGCTGACTAAAGGCAGATGAAGAGATAAGTCAAGTTGAAGAAAATGGATTTGTATTGGCATCAATCAGCCCAATTGGTTGATTTATAGAAATGGGAGTCCTGTGAGCATTTAACGGCCAAACAAATAAATCCCGGGGAGCAGAGAGGGCAACTGGTCTGCTTGGAATGTGGATGAGGGATCTCTCAGTTCTCTTTAGTCAGAAAGCTTCTATTAGACAACACAATTTTCCAAAAGGTCCAAAGAAAAATGGAAGGCTTGAAATCTAAGAACAGGAAAGGTTTCTGGTGTTTACCCCTGTGAGAAATGCACACACAAGGAAGAGGAAATTCAGATCAAAGAAGCAATGAATGTGATCATCTGGGAGGCAGCACAACCCAATTAAGAGCAAGGACTTTGGAGGCAGAGAGAATATAAGTTTCAAATCCCGGTTCTACCGCTCACTGCCTCGCGTGGCTTTGGTCAAGTTACCTATTTTCTTTACGCCTCAAATGCTTCTTCTGTGAAATGGAGATTCTCATGGCATCTCCTTCGTGGGGTTCTTGTGATGATTACATGCACAATATTCTTAGCCCAATGGCTGTGCCATGATAATGGGTCAATAAAATTTACATGGCAGCTTTCTGAGCAGAGGGAAGATTGGCAGGAAGGGAAAGCTTGTCTTTGTCCTGTCCAGTGTTGCTCAGGACCTCGAAGTAGAGGGTGCTGAAATTTATGACAGCATTTCCAAGAAGGAAAAGGCGATTTTTGAAGTGCCTAACTTACATTGCCTTTACTGTTCTTTCACCATTCAAAAAATCTATTTTCCATATAATTTCAAGTTCCTCTAGGGTACAGACAGGGTTGTATGATCTTGGTGGTTCCTACCCTGGGCAGGCATCCAACGCGTTCTTGTTGCTGGGGGTGGGGGTGAGGGTGAGGTGGGAACAGAGGACAAAGGAGCCAGGGTGAATAGAAGCATTCAAGCCTCCCTGCAAGCAAGTAATGGTCTGGAGGAGGGATTATTGCTATACATTGGTGGTGGTGATGAGTAGTGAGTAAAGAAACTGAATGTGGGACTGAATTGAATTGAATATGTATGGCTTCTGAGGGGCAGGAGACAACATAGGGGAAGCCTTCAGAGTTCTGTAATGCTTAGACATGAGGAGGGAAGGAAAGAGAGGGCACCTTAATCAGGTTTTCCTTCTTAGGAAAAAGGGCAAAATGGTGGCAGCACCCACAGTCAAAATGGAACTTGAAGGAGAACCATGAGTTAGAAGGAACGTGACCAGTTTGTTTGGCCTCCACACTATCCACTCTTGGATGCCCAGGGTCTGCACATTGTAAATACGAAAACATTTTCAGAATGCAGCAAGTGCAGGTGCAGAATTGTTCTTCAAGGAACAATTTTATCGTTTCCATGAAATCCAAGTAATGTAAATATATTTACAGCCTATTTCGTATCTGGCAAAAAAAGTTCAATACTTGTAATTACAATAGTTATCATTTCCTTAGCCCTTCATAGCTTTTGGCTTTCGGCTCGGGGCGGCAAAGGTGCAACTTTCTTCGGTCGTCCCGAATCTGGGTTCATCCGACACCAGCCACTTCCGCCATGCCGCCTAAGTTCGACCCCAGCGAGATCAAAGTCGTGTACCTGAGGTGCACCGGTGGCGAAGTCGGTGCCACGTCTGCCCTGGCCCTGAAGATCAGCCCGCTGGGTCTGTCTCCAAAAAAGGTTGGTGATGACATCGCCAAGGCAACCGGTGATTGGAAGGGTCTAAGGATTATGGTGAAACTGACCATTCAGGACAGACAGGTCCTTAGCCCTTCATATATTCTAGGGTTTGGGCCAAGCACTTTATAAACATCATCTGTAGCCTTCAAGCTACACTGAAAATTGAGTATTGTGATTCCGGTTTTATACAGCAGAGACCTGTGATGAAGGAAGTTGCCCAAAGCCACACAGTCAATAAAGGGAAAGAGGATGAAATTTAGCCACATCTGTCTGACACCAAAGCTCGTGCACACAGCCACATCTGGCTGCTGATGCCTGCGAATTCACCACTATGATCTTTTGATCTAGAATCTCTCCCGAGATTTCCTTAATACGTATATTTTATGCCACTGATGCATGGTCTTCCTGACTTCTCTCATTATTTCTTCCAACTATTTTGGACCTCTCATTTAAGTGGTTGAATCTAGAAGTCTTCTTTTTGAACCTGAGCAGGAAAATGTGAATAGAATAAGACAGACAACGGTGCCATATCTGTACATATTTTTTCTGGTTCCTGGATTGTGCTGGACTTTTCTAAGGATGGAGAAAGGGGTTCCCAGTTGTATGATGATGAGAAGCAAAAAAGCCAATCTGACATATAAATCTCTCTTTTGTAGTTTTCTCTTCTGTAAGAATCAGTCAAACTTGGCTATAACTCTCCTCGATTCTGATGCTGATGATCTATATACACAAAGCTTATCCAGGAGTGCTAATTCAAGAGTTCACTGTCAGCAATTAAAAAACTTAACTGGAAGTAGTCTGCAGGATAAGAGGAAGGTTCTAGGAAATGTGAAATAATACTCAGGAGGTGGGTTAGGAGAGAGGTGAGAGAAAGACTGAGCAAGAGAAGCTTCTGGGAAGGGCACACCATAGCACATGCCACCTGCCCAGATGACAGCACAAAGCATGGGCTTCCAGAAGGAAAAGAAGTACACAGAGCGGGTAGGGGCACTGAAGACAGGCTCTCCGCCAGCCAGCCCCACCCTCTACTCCTATACCCCCAACCTCTTTCCTATTAAGAACTGTTTCTTTTTGATGAGTTTAACCAGAGTCCAGCAAGCAATGAAACCAAGGGAGCAGAAAAAGCCAGAGGAATGAGAAGGAGCAAGAAGAACTTGTAGCCTCTCTGCAGCCATACTGTCTTAATAGTTCTTTGAACTTGCAGGAACACTTCAAACATGTACATTCTAATATACAAATCCTGAAATATGTGAAAGACCTCAGTAGCAAGGAGAAGGGGACATGATTTTGCAGAGTGTAGATGAATAATAATGAAAGCCACCAGACCAATGCCATAAAGTGTGAGAGCTTACAAATGGATATGCAGTAATAACAAGGTGCTAGGGATATAATATCAATGGAGTAAGGGGGACTGTGAGCTTTATCACCTGTGAGTCCACCCAGAATAATACAAGATGGCTATGAAAAGATCAGGACCATAGGCAATGTGGATCTGCAGACAAGAATCTTTTTTGTCTTTCTGGATTTCAATAGATCAGTGGACAGTCCTTAGAGGCATAGAAAACGGTAAATAGAAGGCCCAGGTTGGACCCTCCATCCCGAATCCCGAACTTATGGCCCATCACTGATGAACAACACCCTTTTGTCTTCGAGTGAACCAGACCTGGAATGCCCAGACTAAAGAGAAGAAATGACCTTAATTTTTATAAAGAGACCCAGGAAGGATAAAACTACAGATAGCCTAATGGACTCATTTAATTGTGAGACAATTTACATTATTAAGAGTGTCTTTCTTATTATTATCTCAAATACTTCCCAATATGGGTTTGAACCCACATAGATTTAGGTAACGCTAATTCAAAAGGAACAGTTACAACTCTGTCTTTGAGATAATCTTCCTATTATGAGAAGGGAAAAAATAGAAAACATCAGCGTTTCCTACAAAGTCTTATTTTTACCTGGTCTTCTATGTTGTATTTCTAGTTAAGCGAAGGCTTTCAGTGAGAGAAAGGTCTCAGGGCCTATTAGATTTATTTTTTTCATTTTCTGTTTCTCTCAACTAGCTCCATGAGGGAAGGGATTTTGTTTTGTTGTGTTGTGTTTACTGCCATATCCTAGGAGTCTAGAAATAGTGCCTCACACATAATAGACATTCAGTAAGGAAATAATGAATTGGACTTGCACTGTCATCATCTAATCACTCTCCCTACCTCCCATTTACTCTTCTACAATCCACCCTCAACTCTGAAGACAGAGTGTTCTTTCCAAACCAGAAATCTTGATAACAGGTCTCTCCTTTCTCAAACTTCTCAAAGAATGCATACGATCTAGAAAAAAGTCTTTATTCTTCAAGAAGCTATTCATGGGCCTCTGTGATCTGGCACCTTCTGTTTCCAAATTCACCTGCCATAGTCTTGTGCCTCCTGCACCAGGCCTGTGGTCTTCCTACCAATTCCCTTCTTCTCTTGGCAAACTCTTACTTGTCCTTCAAGACTCAGAAAGAGTGTCACTCCTTCTGGGAGGTCTTCTCAGACTAACCTCGACCCTGGGTTATTTACTTTGGCACTATCTAATGCTTCTATCAACATGTTCATAATACATTGGGATGATAGACTTATACGTTTGTGTTCCCTACTACTGTGTTCCCTAAACTTACCTCTGGGTCAGGTGCTGTGGCTTCATCACTACTGTATTTCCAGCTCCAGGAAACGTGTTTGCCACAAAATCAACACTCAATAAATATTTGGGAATAGGAACCCTGAAAAGGGACTGTGGAATTAGCGGCATCACAAAGTTTTTAATCAAATGTTCATTTTGGCTTATAAATCTTGATGTTGTTTTAAAAAACACACACTGATGATTTTTCCAAGTTTTATCTATTAAGTTCTACAAGGTACACAGTCTACTTTTAGAAATCATTAGCTCTCATTTTTTTTTTATTGTGGTAAGAAACATATAAAATTTACTATTTTAACCATGTCAAAGTGTGCAATTCAGTGGCATTACATCACATAATGTTGTGCAACCATCAGCATTTCTCACTTCCCGAACTTGTTCATCATCCCAAACAGAAAAGCTGTCCCCCTTCAGTAATAACTCCCCATTCCCTCTGCTCCCAGCCAATGGCAACCTCTCTTTTAGTTTCTAGCTCTACGGACTTTTCTATTCTAGGGACCTCAGGTAGGTGGAATCCTACCACGTGTGGCCTTTGTGTCTGGCTACTTTCACTCAGCATAACGTTTTCAAGGTTCATGCATTCTGTAGCATGTGTCACAATTTCAGCCCTTTTAAGACTGAATAACATTCCACTGTATGGCTATACCACATTTTGCTCATCTATTCCTCTATTGATAGGCATTTGTGTTGTTTCCACATTTTGGCTATTGTGAATAATATTGCTGTCAACATGGGTGTACAAGTCTCTGTTTGAGTCCCTGCTTTCCCTAATTCTTTTGGATATACACCTAAGAATGGAATTGCTGGATCATAAGGTATTTCCGTTTAGCTTTTTGAGGAAATGCCAAACTATTTTCCTCAGTGGCTGGGACATTTTACCTTCCCACCAGTAATGTACAGGGTTCCAATTTCTACACATCCTCACCAACACTTGTTATTTGCCATTTTTAATAATGGTCATCTAGTGGGGATGAATTAGTGGCATTCTGTTGGCCCCAAAATTCAAGTTTTTGCCATATTTATATTTTCAACTTTGAGAATGAAATGTAAGTGATAAATAGCTATGCTTAAGTTGTGAAATATTATAAATTCACTATTATTTATGAAATTCTGTCCTCCAGCCTAGGTACAGTTTTGAACAAAGTAAAGATATAATATACAAGTAGAAAGTAGGGGGTGGGGGAGGATGATAATATTCTCATGACCTGCCCATTCAGCAATGTGAGTTAATAACCTTCACAGTGCAGTCCATGGGCACTTCTGAAAACATATTTAATTGACAAATGTATGAAGCAGGACCATTCTAGTAATGGTTTCCAGTTGAAATTGCTTCCATATTTTGCATTAACTTGAGCATTTTTATGATTTCAAGGATGGAAAAAAGCTTACAGAAAACCACATATATGCAAATGCTGTGGATGTTAAAATATGCATAGAAAATGTTGCTTATTTTTATAAAACTTTTTTACAGCCTATTAAGGCAAAACCAATGTTATTGCAATATTAAAGTTCAAAATTTCAGCAATCTATTAAGGCCCCTGGAGGAACATTAGTTACAGCAGGGAACTCCAGCATTTGAGAGGCCTGCCAAGGGCAAGACTGCTCTCTCAGACTTCATGGAGGGAAGCATTTCATATGAGGGATTTCATAAAAATGACTCTACAGCACTCTTCCAAGGCAATCAAATACTCAGAATTGATTGATTTTAACTTGACCTTAGTGTCCTAAAATGAGTCAACAACCCGACAGCGGGATTCCCGTGAGACAAGTAGTAGGAAGAGGACCATCCCTTACATTACATGCTGGTACCCTATTAAGTCTTCTTCTCTGCAGCTGCAAGATGTAGTGAATTTTGCCATACAGCTATCGAACACAAGCCTCCACTGAACCCCGTGCCCTGTGAGGTAAGCATGGCTGACACTGCCATCGCCAGTTGCGCAAGGCAGACCCCCCGGCCCAGAGATGGGGACTCTTGGCCCCCTAGTTCACAAAGCTGCTCACCAGATGGGCAGGTGGTAGAGGAGCAGATGCATAGGCTCTGCAGAGAGACAGACTGAAGTCCAAATCCCAGCCCTGGCATGCTCTCCTTGTTTCCTTGGAAAAATTCCTTCAGTTCTTTCAGCCTCAGTTTCATCTCCATAAAATGGGGTTAAGAGCATCTACCTCGTAGGGTTCTTTTAAGACTAAATATTCATTCTGTTTATTCTGAGCAATTCTGTTACATTTCTCCCATCCACGTCCTGGTCAGACATTAATTAATCACAGTGCGCTTTTGCACAGAGTGGAGAGCAAACTTGGAATCCTCAGGCTAGTGTTCTGGGCTTCTATACCAACTGAAGAGAAGAGGTAAGTGACAAGAGGGGGACTTGTCACCCTGGGCCTCAGAGCTACGTTCACTGCTGCCTGTGTTGCTCCTTTCATCCAACCCTCAGGAACACTCTATCAGCTTACAC